TTGTTAGGATAGGACAATATTTGGCAGAGATACAACTATTTGAAAATCTGGAATCTGAGGGTGCAAAACAAAATCAAAATATTGAGAAAATCGCCTTTAAAGTTGTCCAAATGAAGTTCTTAGCAATGCATATTACTAATCAAAAATTACGTTTTGATATATTTACGGTAGGAAATTTACTAAATATCTTCATGGAACATGATCTTTGCTTAATATCCTAATGATTTTTGGCATAAAAGAAAAATCGATAATTTTGAGCCATACAATGTATTGTTGGCTATTGCTACAAATATACCCCAGCGACTTAAGACTGCTTTTGTGCTCCAGGGTCACATATTATTTACCTATGGTGACAGAAGTTCCCTAAAATTTAACTACCTTACATATCTCTTATATAATACTTATTAAATATCTGTATCTCTTGTATAGTCATTCTATTCTGTATGACTTGTGTTAAAGTTGTTATCCTGAAAGCTCACAAAAATCTCGTTTGCTCAGCCACGACTCCGCAACTGCTGCCTCACAACAGAAATGACTGTTAAAATTAGACATGTGAATCTGCAAACTGCGCTACAAATATTGAACCATATTTCATGCTGAATTCCCGCACAGGTAGTTCTAAGGGGTTTGGGTTTTCTCACCAGACAGACGCAGGAGATGCAGGGGTTGTCTGTGATGTTGGGGATGTGTAACACTTCTCCCTCGTTTTCACAGCTAGCCTCCGTACCTGAATGAAAAACGAAAAAAGACCAAATAAAATGAGCATTTACATGAGATATTTCCTCTAAACATTTTATTTAACCATACAAACAACAATTAAAGCCTGCAAATATGGATGAGTGAATAAGGGGTGTCCAAACTGCTCATGTTTAGTTTAAGTAGAGTTTACAAAACATATACCGGGGATGTAGGCCACACTTTATTTTACAGTGTTACTCTGTATTTAAGTGATTACCGACTCGTTAAACTAACGAGCTACATACTTACTGGCAATTGTTTTAATTTTGCTATATACTTTTGCTTATTACTGTGCTGGTTAACAATTACATGACTAATGCAACGGACACTGTAAAATAATTATTTATTTACATGACTACACAACTAAACTCTTTTCACTAAACTTGTATTATTCATTTTCGAATCTGAAATAAATGGCTACTACTAAAGCAACACTTATTCAAAACCAAATTCAAAGTAATGTAAAAAAAAAAAAAATGCAATTAAAGCGTTTTGACATTTTAAATCGTGCAGTTTTGAAATTATAAAAATATCAAAACCAATTTACACGACCACCATGACAAAACAACACATATTCCTCAGATTTCGCATATACATTTGAATTAAAGTAGACTAATTTGATGTCTAATATTTGATGTTTTATGCAGAAATGTTTATATGATTAAATTTATTATGGATGTTTATTTATGATTCTTACCGGTGATTAAAGGTGCAGTTAAATGTGGCGTTTGGAGAATTAAAAACAAGAATAACAGGTTGTAGGTTACTGGAGGAGACAGACACAGCATCCTAAATTCACTCCAGACGCATGGGGGGAAAGAGAAAAAATGAATAAATAGAGTATCCAAAGCCTGTAGAAATGGTTTTCGTTAAGATCCAGAGAGAGGGGGACATTGGTGTGATGAGGGAGTCAAACGCGCGCGATGCCCAATCAGCTCAACATTGTGACAAAAACGGTCCAAAAAACACGTCAACAGCGAGGCAACTTTCCGAAGATCCAGGTTTGCAGGTCACAAACTCCACAAAGAGTTTAAAACAGAGATAAGATCCAGAGGTCTTCTAGAGACAAGCGCGTGGAGGGATGACACTGCCATGATCCAAACCGAGATATCCAGTCTTTGGTCAGAGCGCGCTGGTTTGGTCTCCGGTTCTTCTCTGACAGACGCACGGATGCGCACTGCTGGTCATTTCTGGCGACGCCGATTCTCCTCCAGCTCCAGAGCTGCAGTCAAACATTCCCGCGGCGCAGGTCCGTCCTCCAGCCCACGCAGATATCTGCCTCTCGCTATTTAAACGCATGTGTGGGTTTATAATCCCGCAGATCTGCCGTATGCTGAGGTGTAGTGAGATCCGCCCATCTGTACCCTCAACATATCAGCATTCAGCATGGGCACACTCGTGTAACTTTCTCACCAAACAAGAATTTCAGCCTATTACAAAGGCACGGGATAGGAACATGCCTTTTGCATGTAATTCTCAATCTTAGAATAACAATGACTTCATTCATTGACCATTATCCAAAGTAGGTGCTAACTGTCTTCAGAAAACCAAAGTATCTGTGTGCACAAAGGATTGTTCCATCTGCATTTCAAAGGTCAGATTTATAGCTAAAGATATGAAGCTGAAGCAGACCTAGTCTAATTACATTTGAATGATATGTCCTGAGACTAATTGCTTCTGAACACCAAGACAGGGCTCTCAGAGAATCAATGTATTGCTTTAATATTAGTCACTAGATAGCGCCAAAGAGCACTTTTACTGGTGATCTTGCAGCCTGGTGTCTTGGAAATTCAACTCAATTTTGTAAAGATATAATGTGAATGGTGAGACATCTGATCTGCAGTGTGTTGTGATAAGACAATCCACCTGTCATGTCTTGTTGTACCTCTGCCATACACTTGTTGATCTTAGTTATTGTGAATGATTCAATGTCATTACTCAATTTTCTAGTGAAATGACTTCTCTCTGGTGACGTACAGTATGTCGGATTTCCCCAATCATTAAGTTCACTTAAATCCTGCCCCACTCCATCCCATCAACAAACAATGAATAGAATCAAGTCCCCACCCAACATTTTTTTTTTCTTTTTCCGTTTTTGATAATCGGTTTCAGAAAACATCTACCGCTACTTCCATTAAAGCCATTTGTAGAGGAGGAATTATTTTGACACAGTCTAAAGATAATTGCACCAAAAACAATTGACTGCAGTTTCAAACTATGTATGTATATCTATTGAAATGACAAAACCACCATTGTCTGTATTCAGAGTCAAATGAAAACATAATTTAGATGTATAGGCCAAGACACACCAAGACGAATGTTCGGTGCGATAAATAATTCCAATGTGTTCCGATCTTTTTTCCACTTCACTGGTCAACCAATAAGATTTGTGCTTTTAAGTCATGTGCCCAGTCATTGCTGTTACATAAAACCAGGGGTTTTCTGCTTTTTTCTAAGCGCCACCTACTGTCAGAGAGTAAACCAGCATTTTCATTCAGCCCATCTGCTGTTTATGCATTGGTATGAATAAAGAGACAAATTGAATATGAAAACTGAATATGAAAATTGCACAGAATTTCCGTGTTGAACATTTGTGTTGGTGTGAAAGAGCCACATATCACCCTGTAGCCCAAGACTGGTTGCCCACTGAAGCTAAGCAGGGCTGAGCCTGGTCAGTACCTGGATGGGAGACCTCCTGGGAAAACTAGGTTGCTGCTGGAAGAGGTGTTAGTGAGGCCAGCAGGGGGTGCTCACCCTGTGGTCTGTGTGGGTCCTAACGCCCCAGTATAGTGACGGGGACTCTTTTCGCCTACCGTTTTATGAATAGTGTGAATTTTGGACATATTATTCATTTACTGCATCTCCTGTATATGTACTTTTCATATACCACTATACAGTAGGGAAGTAGGCACATTTGGATGCAGCCACTGTATCAGGCAGCAGATCACTTTCTGCACTCCTATTGGTTAATTGCCATACCACTTCTATGTTAAGTTCTGCTAAAATTTGTTGCCTCGCTAACGCTAAAGCTAACAGTTGCTGCTGCTTGTGTCGCTAGAATGTCGCCACTCTCACTGAAAATGAATGTAGTCAATTTGCAGTCAATGTGAAGCCCCTTAACTGGTTATCATTCATCATTACTATGAAGACAACAACTAAAAAATATTCCGTTTTTTAAAGTTATAATTTTGGTTTTACATGTTAAAAATAGCTAAACTAAAATCGTTCAAAGTACCCCCAGTTGGAACTCACTGCTCTAGTCTCTAGTATGATTTACATTGACTATATATAGATGTGGGATATATGACTCATTTCTTCCCACTATTAGCCGCACAGATCAGCACTGTAAGGAGTTGATGATTTTGTACGGAGGGGAGACATTATTATCTAGACAAATGGCCCTATCAAGTTGCCAAAATGAGGCAACATAATACAGAAACAATGCATGCAAAACCACAAAAACTCCATTAAACATCTAATCTTGGTCCACACAGACCCACACCCACAAAAGAGTTTACCATCACACTGGAGCATTTGAACATTTTAATATCTGTAAGTTGTATTACTGAGTGACATTTTTATTGCCTCATTTGACAGTGTAATTGATTTACAGAGAGATTGATCTCTCTAATGTTTCAGGTTTAAAGGGAAATGTTTCCTCAGAATACACAGCTGATACCAAAAGATCACATTCAAATCTATTAGTATGCATGTAATATTGATTCAACAACTGGAACAAAGAACATAATAATAATAATAATAAAGGTATTACGAATAAAAATCTTAATATAAAATGTAACATGATGTGATATTTTTGTATTATGAATGTTTCTGATGACAATGTAAAGGTAGATTATTGACATATGCAAACAATTTTCTACTGATAAGGAACTTAAATGAGACAAAATGATCTACAAACACTGCTTTTTCTAAGACCACATATATCTGAAAACTATAAAAAATAATCTGTACATGATTATCCACTGCTATGGCCTCGGACTCACTATGTACAGTAGGTATATAAAGTGTGTGTGTGTGTATGTGTTTATAAGAAACTGCATATCTCACTCTCCCACATCATGAAGAAAGGTAGACCCACAAGAGTGTTGTGCAAAATTCAGAATTTAAGAATTGAAAAATAAATGTATTAAAACATGCCTATCGGTCTTTCATCCTGAGAAATAAAATTAACTATTAAAAACTACACTTCCATATGAATTTCATTCTATTTTAGCTTGAATTCCAATTCTGCATCCTGTTTGCTACTTCAACTCGAATTCAGAAATTGGATTGGAATTGAAAAAGCTCTCTGAATTCTGAATGTCACACAAACAGACAGCAGAGATAAGGTGGTGTGGTTATTCTTAGCCCGTGATCAGACGTCACGTACATGTGGCTTTCTGAGCAATAGGAGATGATGGACACACAGACTACAGGCTGCAGTGGCAGACAGCTGAGTTTAAATATAAAGCCCCCCTACATGTCTACTTGCCCTCAAAGAGAGTGAAAACATGCACTTTTTGATTGTTTTTTCTGCCACTATGCTATCAACTCTAGAATTACAGCAAAAGCATCAGGATGAGGTATTAACCTTTCCACAGACACACCGACTAATAAAAAGCCAAAGAATTTTATCAGTGCAGCAGCTGCCAATGTATTCAACCGTCTCCTGCATCTGACTTCTTCTCTTTGACCTTCACTGAGGACTTCCTGGACACCTTTGTCTTCTCCTTCCCAGACTCCTTTGATGACTCTTTCTCTCTGGTTGACTCCCTGTCCTTTGAGGGTTCCTTTGACTCTTTTGTAGACTCTCTTTTGGAGGATTCCTTTGACGACTCTCTTTTAGACTCTTTTGACGACACCTTCTCTTTACCAGAGTCTTTCTCCTTCTTCTCTCTGGACGATTCTTTAGATGAATCTGTAAAAAAAAAAAAAAAAAAAAAAAAAAAAACCATATAGCCAAAATTAGTCAGAAAACTGAAATAGAGGTTGAAATCAGATCAGACCCAGAAGGATTAAGCTCTGATAAAACATTCCTGTTCATTTTTGTTACATTTTTATAGAATTTTAATGTTTTGTGTAACAAAATGCTTTCTCTGTGTTCAGGTTTGACTGTAGTAATGCTAATTCAGAAGCTGACACTTCAAATCAACATTTCAAAGCAAAGAAAATCTAAACCTTTACAAAAAGTTGTCTTTGAGAATGTCTAAAATATATGTATATCCAAACCCACAACTTAATAAAAATAAGTATTTATGTCTAAAAATAATTAGAGAATTTATAGGCCTTTTATATAGAGCTATATAGAAATCTAGTGGCTAAACCATAGAATGTTTTTCTTATTTTACCTCCCACCAGATGACACTAATTTGGCTTAAAAAAAATTGGATGTTAAAGACTCTATTTTAACATGAAATACTGCATTAATTGAAAAGTAATATAAAAATATATATTTTTTAAATTGTATTTTCAATGGGAAGAAATTGATCACAATTATTGCATAACTATTAATTAGTACCATGAAAAGATCTCAAAATACAAAAGAAAAAAGAAAAAATATTATTGAACAAAAATATGGTACATTGATTTTACTGGGGGGAAAAAAGTAAAATTTTAGGTGTCCGGTCGCTTTTGACCGTGAAGACCACAAGTGTGACTCCCAAATAAGGAGCACCAGAGGGTTAAATATATTTGTAATTGCACATCTGTAATGATTAATTTGCAGTTGAGTACTTAAGTCCAACTAAAAACACTCTAACTGCATTTAATATAAAACCAAACTATAATAAATATTCATTTAATTTAAAATAACATGCAAGTGTCCGAAAACAGTACATTTTGTTCCCACTTAAGCATATTCTTTTAAAATACATTATTTCTGTAATAAATACCAAAATTTACTTCTTTTTCACAAACTAATATAATTTATATTCACTAGATATTTAAATAACATCCTATAGTCACATCAAAGTTTTCCTGTGAGTAGGTTATGTTGTTATACGGTTCAGTTAAGTCATTTTTTGGTTCAAAAGTATTTGGAAACATATGCCGGTTCTGAGAGAGGATCACAAATGTACATTTACTCATTTAGCAGATCATTTTATCCAAACGCACACCAGGAATACAACTGATGCACCAACATCAGAAGTTGCAGAATATTGGTGGAAAAGGGGCATGAGAGTCAGACAGCCCTTAGGGAGATTCTTTGTGTGTGTGTGTGTGTTTGGGGGTAGGGAGCAGATCTTTTTGTTGTGTACCAGGTGCCATTGTCACTCAGTGTCAGTCACAGCAGGCAGTCAACTCAGCACACACACAGATAACATGTCTACTAAAGGAGTGATATATGTGCGTCTCTAAACAGTCGTTAAAAAGTCACAGCCGTTTGCATCCTCTGGGGGCTGGTCTCAATCCTCCACCTGTGTGCTAGACGCCTGTGAGCCGCAGTCACGCTGGGGCTGCTGGGTAGACAGACAGCTCCTGTAGGGCTGTATCCGCAGGGAGCAGCTTAATAAGGCTTTTCCTGAGGTGCTTCGCAGCAGCCGCAGGCTCAATGACACTGACAAGACTGCAGATGTCCCTTCACAGACAGACAATCTCACAAGACTCTTCATCTCTCAGATGAGACTGTGATTGTGTGCATGTGGCTGTGTAGTGTGAATCTACAGACAAAGACTCAACAGTACGTGTATGTGAGCTGCACCCCTACACATGACCGTTATCTGATGTTTAACCACAGGCAGCCCACATCACCCGAGGAATCGCCAGCAGGTATCTTTCCTGATTGACACAGACTGAGTACAGCAGTGCCCCACTCTTGGGGTTTTTACACTTTTTTTGCCAAGGACCCCCGAATAGGATACCCACTTATGTATAATAAAACATTTCAATTAAAAGTTCAACTATTTTGAGAAAAAAAAAGTGTGAAAACAGTTGTTCCAGAAGTCAAATTAAATAAAAAAAACTATAGCAATTTGTACCAAAGCAAAATGTTAAATTATTATATGGAACATATTTACTTCAAAACTGCAAATCTGGACTATTTTATATATTTTATTCATGTTAACTTCACATGGTAACTTTGACAGCCCTGAAAACATCTTTTTTTTTTGTACATCCAACAGCCAGAGGAGTTTCTGTTACTATGGGAATGGCAATAGCAGCAAAAAAAACTCAGCAGTGACTGCCCACTCCCATAAATCAGTGGAAACAGCATAAATGAGTCTCTCTAAACTCTCATAGACGAGTTTAGAATTTTTTAGAGTGTGTTTATAA